GCCTATATCGCCGCCATCTTCTTTCTCCCAGGATGCTATTTATTAATAGATGTGTTTGATTTTGTGTAAATTCATTTTGACTAACTGTCCAAAATGCCCTGCCTTATGGAAATGCCCTTGCTAAACATTTCTAAGCTATAAGAATTATTTTATGTAGTTTGAATTCAGCTTTATTAAGCCATCAGTTCACTAGCAAATTTCTAACTTTCAGTATTAATTCTGGCTCGAGAATAGGGTACTGAGACATAGGGACTTTGGAATAAATAAAGGAAATATAGTGGGCCTTCTCTGAGCCATGAAATAGCATTTAGAAGGCTGCTTATTTAAGTGGATTCTAGAGGAAGAGAGCTGTCTGATTTTCACAGATATTAACAATTGTATCTTTTTTTAAAGATACATACCCTCATAAAGAAATTAAAGAGCTGTACAGAATGATATGCTGTCTGTAGCAAAATGAGGAGCATAGAGGAATGCTTATGAAGTCACTCTGTGACCCACCCAGCATACCATAGGCACTCCCTAAGCACTTACAATGATACATAGTGGGTTTTTTTCATCTTTATTGTTGAGAGTATTACAGATGCCCCCTCTATTTTCCCCCATTGGCTCCCTCCATCTGACTTTTGTCCTACCCCAGGCCTTCACCACATTATTGTCTGTGTATCTTTATAGCTAAGATCTGTTTCAATTTAGGGATTGATATAAAAATGTATAGTAGATCTTAAACATAAGTAATGTTTTCCTGGAAAGAGTTTTAAACAAGGAAAGACTCCATCAAGAAAGATAGAAGTAAAAGGTGAAGCTGTGCTTCACCTGCACATAGGAAAGAAAATGTCAATGAATAGTATTTTCTACTTTTTTTTCCAATATATTTTTTTTATTGGTTTCAGAGAGGAAGGGAGAGGGAGAGAGAGATAGAAACATCAGTGTTGAGAAAGAGTCATTTTTTGGCTGCATCCTGCCCTCCCCCGCTAGGGATTAAGCCCACAACCCAGGCATGTGACTTCCTGATTCCTAGGTTGACGCTCAACCACTGAGCCCTGCAGGTCAGGTAATGAATAGTATCTTCAAATGGGTTAGTTTGATATCTGTTCTGAGTGGGTTTTTGTTGTTGTTTTCCTCTTTTAGTTATTTGTTTTATTTTGCCATTTTAGAAATTAAGTGCAGTTTTACAACTCCCCAAAATTATTGTTTCTTCAAATTGTGTTGACTATGACTGGGGATCTTTAAATTGACAACTCATTCAAAAGGCTGTAAACCAAAAAGAGTGATTTAGGTTTGAAAAAACTCAATGGCTATATTTTAAATTTATTTGGATTGATAAATATTATCTTCTGCTAGAGGCTTGGTGCACGAAATTCATGCGGGGGGTGGGGGATGGGTGGTCCCTCAGCTCGGCCTGCACATCTCGCAATCTGGGACACCTCGGTGGATGTCCAACTGCCAGTTCAGGCCCAATCCCACAGGAATCCCTGCAGGATCGGGCATAAACTGGCAGTCGGTCATCCCTCTCACAATCCGGGACTGCTGGCTCCTGACTGATCCCCTGCCTGCCTGGCTGATTGCCCCTAACCACTCTGCCTGCCTGCCTCATCCCCCCTAACTAGTCGCCTGCCTGATCACCCCTAACTGCTTGGCTGCCTGCCTGATTGCCCCTAACTGCCTCTGCTTTGGCTCCCGCCACAGCGGCTTCATCCAGAAGATTGTTTGGCTCTCTGGTCTAATTAGCATATGACACTTTTATCATTATAGATATATATAAAAAGCTAAGTGACTGACGGTTTGTCTGACTGATACATTTGACACGCACTGGCAATTTGAAAATAAACGTTGACTCACGCATGTGTGATACATATAAAGCTCTCGGTGCCAATCACACAGGTGTTTTGATCTGTCATTGCTGATCGTGAATTTAGTGGTTTCAATCGTGAATTCGATTTTCCCATTGAATTTCTTAATAGTACTCCTTCTGGAATGCCATGTCATAAACTAAAATTGAAAGTAGGTGCAATCATCATGCTACTGAGAAATCCTAATAGTAAATGGGGTCTTTATAATGGTACTAGATTTATTATCAAAAGATTGTGACCTAACATAATTGAAGCTTATGTATTAGCAGGATCTGTGGAAGGAGAGGTTGTTCTAGCACTCTGAAAGTGTTTTTACTCCTAATGTGGTTTACAGGGAAATATTAGAATAAATTTAATCAATTTATTAGTCATTGTTTTTATATCATGTTTTTGTTGTTCTTATATCATGTTAAAATATTAAGATATTTCTTCTAATTAATGTCCTTTCAATGTTCACGAATCCGTGCACCGGTATTAAAATATTGCCCTTGCCAGTTTTGCTCAGTGGAAAGAGCATTAACCTGCGGAACAAAGGGTCCTGGGTTCGATTCTGGTCATGGGCATGTACCTTGGTTGCAGGCTCCTCCCTGACCTGGTAGTGTGCAGGAAGCAGTTGATTGATGTTTCTAACTCTCTATTCCTCTCCCTTCCTCTCTTTAAAAAGTCAATAAAATATATTTTTTTTAAAAAATAAAGACCTCAAAATAGAGTCACATTGAGGGTTAGGATTTTCAGATATGAATCTGGAGACAATTCATTTCACAACAGGTATTATGTATACAAATGTATGTTTATATTTGTCTTTTTCCCCCTTCATCACTTTGAGGCACATCAAAACTACTATCATCATGAAAAATTATTTTATAGTGCTTACTCTGTATCAGGCCCTATTTTATGTGCTTTACTCATTTAATTATTTCCATAACCTTATGAAGTACATACCATTGTTTATGAGGAAATTTAGGAAGAGTTAAGTAACTTGACCCAAAATCACATAGTAATTGCTAGTTTTGTGACATTTTCTTGCATGTATATTGACACTCTGTTATTAGCTGTTACTGTTCCATGTTCTTTTTTTTGTTCCATGTTCTTGATACATTTATTTCTTTATCATTATGAACTGTCCCTCTTTATCCCAGGTGACAGTCTGTCCCTGTTCTGAATTCTCCTTTGACTGATATTGATATAGTTTTCTTATGATTGGTATATACTTGTTATCTTCTATGCTTTTACTTTTAACCTGTGACTTTTATGGGCAGTCCTCACTTTGCACTGTTCTTTGGTGACTGAGATTTAATCTCAATTCAAATTGTGTAAAGCAAGGATTACCTATGATTTTAAAGGTTTTTGTTTGTTTGTTTGTTTGTAGACATCATGTAGTTCTTTTCCCCCCCTCAGTCTGATCTTAACCTTTTAACTACAGTGTTAAAACTATTTACATATATTGTAATAGTTGATATAGTTTGTTTATTTTTGTCTCGTCTCATCTGTCTTTTATTTGTTTTGTTGTTGCTGTTGTTAATCCTCACCCGAGGATATTCCTCCATTGATTTTTTTAGAGAGAATAGAAGGGAAGGGAAGGGACAGAGAGAGAAACATTGATTGGTTGCCTCCCACACATGCCCCAATCAGGGCTGGGGATTGAGCCTGCAACCGAGGCATGTGACCTTGATCAGAATCAAACCCAGGATCCTTCAGTCCACAGGCCCATGCTCTTATCCACTGAGCCAGACCAGCTAGGGCTGTCTCACCTGTTTTATTTTCTTTTCCTGCCTTTGGGTTAATTCTATATTTTTAGGCCAGTGCAGATGTTGGTTTATTAGATACATTCCTTTGTTTTCTTTAATAAGAGTTGGTCTAGAGTTTATAGTATGCAACTTTAACTTATCACAGTTTTTATTTTCAGATGATGTTATAGCATTTCACATACAATTTAAGAAATTTGTAGCAATACTAGAGGCCTGGTGCATGAACTTGTGCACAGGTGGGGTCCAGCTGGTCCTTGCCGATTGGGCCTGCTGGTGGGAGGGGCCCTGGGCAGTTGGCCAGCCGGCCCTGCCTGCTGGTCGAACTCCTGGTCGAGGGGACAATTTGCATATTAGCCTTTTATTATATAGAATATTTACATTTTTCTCTTCCCTTCTTTTGTGTGATTGTTTTTATAGATTTTATCTCTAGAGATGTTATAAACCCCACATACATTGTTATTATTTTTGCTTTATATTATCATTATACTTAAAAGAATTTTCAAGCAAGAAAACAATGTATTTTGTATTTATTCACACATATTGACTGTTTCTGGCACTCTTCATTCTTCATTTGTGTAGATCCAAGTTTCAATCTTGTATTATCTCTTTCATAGAGATCACTTTCTTTAATTCTTTGTGGTAATCTCCTCAAGTCTTGGCAGTTATAATTCCCAATTTTTAAAAAGTATTATAATACATAGTAAATGCCTAGTTCTGATTAATAATTAGGCAGTATTATGGCTGGGAGAAGTTATTATGGTTTTTGTTGTAGTTATTGTTACCTTTTAGAAGGATAACCTGTGTTTTTGTTTTTAATCTGTGTGGTTTTTATCCCACTTAGAAACTCCCATTAAGACTGAAGCAGATGTTCTGGCGGAAGACCAGGTTCTTCATAGTGATACTCCTAAGGGACCAAATCAAGATGTTAAACCAACTGTTAGTAATTCCTCAGAAGCCAGAAGCCAAAAGAAAAGTTTCAAAAAGACAAACCCTAAGAGGAAGAAAGATTGCCACAATTATCATGCTTTATTTGAACCAAGAACACATCATCCATATCTCCTGGAAATGGTAAATGATTTTTCTTTTTTCCCCCTCTTTATTTTATCTTTATTTCCCCCGTCACCATTTATCCCTGCTATGGGTCTTCCATCTCCACCCACCCCTAGCCCGCCCCCGCCACACACACATTCACTATACTGTGGCTCATGTCCATGAGTTATTTCTCTATCTGGTGTCACATTTCTCTCTCTCTCTCTCTCTCTCTCTCTCTCTCTCTCTCTCTCTTGTTTTGGGTTAATCCTCACACGAGGATATTTTCCCATTTATTTTTAGAGAGAGTGGAAGGGAGGGGGAGAGACAGAGAGAGAGAAACATAGATATGTGAGAGAGAGATATCATTTGGTTGCCTCCTACACGCACCCACCCGGGTCAAGGATTGAACCTGTAACCGAGGTATGTACCCCTGACCAGAATCGAACCCACGACCCTCCAGTCTGCAGGCTGACGCTCTATCTACTGAGCCAAACCAGCTAGAGCTCTTTCCATTCCCCGCCCCCCCGCCCCCTTTTTATTTTTCTTAATCCTACAATTTTCAAAACTGCTTAAAATAAAAGAATCTAAGTTTAACTGATTGGTTAAAAAATGCGCATTGAGGTATACTGACACATAGTTTTCACTGAAAACACAGCTAAATACACTGGCAGACTGAAAGGAGAAAAGGTTTTTTTGTTTTGTTTTGTTTTAATCTTCACCCAAGGATATTTTTCCATTGATTTGAGTGAAAGAAAGAAAGAGAGGGAGAAAGGAAGAAACAAACAAACATTGATGTGAGAAAGAAACATCTCTTGGTTGCCTCCTATAGGCACCCTGATCTGGAATCCAACCCACAACCTAGGCTTGTGCCCTAAGTGGGAATTGAACTTGCAACCTTATGCTGTACGAGATGATGCTCCAACCAACTGAGCCACTCAGCCAGGGTGAGAAAAGGAAACATTTGTGCATTATTGGCTTTATTCTCAGTGTGGTATGCTAAAAAAAATCTATCATCTTTTTTCAAATTATAAAGAGGAAGCAATACATCTTTTGATTCTAAGTAATGGACATGAAACTATTCAAAGATCCAAGGCTTTCATGTATAAGAGTGATAGAAATAGAAATAGTCCTAAATTTTTTAATGGAGTTATAAAACTGTTGACATTCTCTGAAAATTCTGTTTGGTTTTGCCTTGTCAGATAAGTGCTTATGCTGTAGCTAAAGTGTTCTGTGGCTACACTCCATGAGGGTTACTGTAGACACAGTTGCTTCTGATTAAATGGATCTGAAATGAGCACTCTGTTTTGTAAATTTCAGTGCTATGTAAAGTAAATTGTATTTTAAAATGTTTGCCTAATAGGAGCAAATTAAATCATTTTTCCACTGAAAGTTCCATATGTGAGATTTTCAAACTACATTAAGGACATCAGAAAATAAGTTGAGGTCACTTTTATCTTTTTGACAAATTACATATGACTCCTTGGTTATGTACTTATTCTAAATACCAGGGATTTTTAGCTTTCTTTTAATTACAATAAGCACAAAAATGGAAAGTTATAAAAGTCCAGGAATATTGGGATTTTTAACTATTAGATTAGTATTATTAGTATCTTTACTATATCTACTTACCAATTTGTATACTGTTTATAGATTTGAGTTTGGTAGATTCGGTTTAAAATGATTTTTAATTAAAGAATTGCAGGCTTTTAAACCTGTTTTTTTGTCCTTTGTCAGATACTCCTAGGGAAGAACCCAAATGTTAACATTTATGCTGTTTAAAAAGCTAGATAGTCTTGGTATAAATTAAGAGGAAATGTTCTTTCATTCTTTTTTTAGCAAATAATTAGTAAGTATAATGTACATCTTTATTGTTCTGTGTTTTCATATGGGGAAGGCACACATAATACTTAGATTATATTTCTTGGATATATTTTACTTACTAGCTAATCTCTGTATTTATTGTTTTTTAGCTTTTAGCTCCAGACATTCGACATGAAAGAAATGTGATTTTGCAGTGTGTTCGGTACATCATCAAAAAAGACTTTTTTGGACTTAATAATAATTCTATGAAAACTGAAGATGTGTAGGTGTCTGTTGTTTCAGCACTCATAATTGAAGCATTTAAAATAATGCCATGTTCAAGTTAGTGGAGGAAAACTTCTTTTTAAACTGGATTAGTCATTGAATTGTAAGCTTCATATGATACTGTGTTGGATTTTTGATTCTTTTCTTTGAATCTGTGTAAATAAATACACAATTGATTTTTAATACTGTGTCTTCTGTATTGTTATTGAACATAATTGCTGGCAGAATTATCTTTATTTGTATATATTGTATGTATTGCTGTCATGAATGGAAATCTGCTCTTGGACCAGTTAAGAATTGAGGATATTGGTGTAGTAGTAAAGAATAAAGCTTTAAAAATGCTAATTCAACTGAGCAAAGCTGTAGGTTAGAGAGAGAGATACAGTTATTTTGTTTTTAATGCAGGAGAGAAGTATCATTCTTTAACTGTAGGAGGAGGAATATTTTAAAAATAAACCAGGTTAAATTAATGTAATAGAAAGTCTTGAGATTTAAATTTTTAGTTTATTTCAAAGAACATTTTGAAATTCACCTATTGCCACTACTTAAGTAGCTCAAATATTGAATGTTTGAAATAGTAATATTGATATGGCCTCTGTGTATATTTAGATTCAATTAAAGTGCTTGTTTTGGTATGGTTCAGAATTGGACCTTTTTAAATTTCCTCATGAAAAAGTATGTTAAGTATAGTACTTGAAGAGGTTCAGATAGTTTCTTATAGCAGAAACAGTTTATGAAATAGTTACCTCAGTCTTAGGTTTAGTTAAAATTTACCCTGTGAAGATAGTAATTGAATATTTTAAAAATGTTTTAAATAAAAGTTCCTGAGAGATCTTTTTGTTCTCTATAATACAGAGACTTTGATTTTATGTTCTAGTCACCTGTGCTTGCTAGAGTTAGAGCTCTACTCTTTTGACAAATAGCTAAGAGGAGCTAGGTTTTTAAAAATTAGTCTGTTTTTATAGCTGAAAAATTAATTTTATCTGACATTGTAATTATCGAAGTCCATGGGCCTTGCTCGCAAGAAGGAAGGCAGGAAAGCTGATAACAGCTCTCAGCCCTCTTGTTGCTTCTCTAAGTCTTAAGATCCTACCTGAATCGTGGAACACCTGTCGTGTGACTCCGTGACATCGTAGACCTGAGGTTAAAATTCATGTGTAGATGAGTTTCCCAACCTTGTAACCACCACCCAGATTTTTTTATTCTGTTTCTCCAGTGAGCCCCATATTTTGGAAAATATCTGTCCAGTACATTAATTCAGTTAATATAATACTGTTGAATGTTTACCTGTGCCACCACTGTGCAGATTAAACATATAAAAATGAGTAAAGCCTTGCCTGACTTTAGGAATTCAGTTTAACTTTTATATTATTCAAAGATGTTATTCCTAACCCAATTCACCTCGTTAGGATGAAGTAACCAATATTATAAATTGAGCTGATATTCTAAAATATGAGTCAGTCTGCAGTTTATCACTAGTTAGCATGCAAATTCCATGGGCCTTGAATACATAAATGAATTCAGCCTCCTAGGCTACTGTCATGGACCGCCGTATCTCCAGAGATATTAACAATCATTGCTTTAAGGTGTATTGTGCAGAGGTTTATTTTCATTCTTGTTTTCTAATAAATGAAGCACTGCCTTGGCTGTGTCTGACAGTCTTTAGCTGAGGTGACTGTTACTCATTTCTAGTGGGTAATTTCACATTCAGCTGTCTGTATGTTTAACCCAGGAATTATTTAAGTGTGTTTAAAATTTCCAAGCGGGGGGTGGTGGGGGGGTGGTGGTAGGTGTAGGGTGGAGAGAGGAGTCAATTTGCGGGGGGGATCTGTAATACTTTCAACAATAAAAGTAAATTTTCAAAAATTTCCAAGCAGATAGATTATCGCCCATGTGGTTTCTACTTTACAGAATATATGCTCAATATTTATAAGTATTCTATGAGTTTTGGGGGTGGAGGGGTACTTTACCTCTTCTTTTGGAGAAGGGTTCATTGAGGAGGAAACTATTCAGTGCAAACAGCTCAATGGTGCTACAGTGTGGCTACATGCCAGGGTTAGTTTTTTAGTTTACTACAGTATATCATCAAGTAATTAAATGTTGACTCCATTAAAATTTTTTGAAATTGAGTTTAGGGTGTTAGGTTCAAAGTAATTGCACCTCAGAATTTTGAGGCTGTAACATGATTGCTGGCACCCAGTATTGCTGATTAAAAGTCAGATGCCAATCTGATTCTATTTATTGGTAAGGACCATTTTTTTTTCTTCCTAAAAAACTTTTAGGACTTCTTTTTGTGCTTGGAGTTATAAAATTTCACCAGCATGTGCCTATGTATGTGGGACATTTGTCATTCCTACTGTTTATCCCGTGGTTTTTTGACTGAAGAATTGTACCATTCTTGGATTAAGGGAAATTTTGAAAATCATTTCTTTAATTGTTTTTTTTCCATTTTATCTGCTTTGTTTTTCTGAAATTCATCAAGTGACTATGGGACCTCCTAACTTGATCCTCTGTCAGTTCACCTTTATTTTTTGTCTTGGTTTTTGTTCTCTGTTCTGAAAGAATTCTTCAGATGTTATCTTCCAGATCACTAATCCTTCTCAGATGTGTTCATTACATCATTATTTAGCTTTTCTATTTAATTTTTAAGTTTACTAATTTGTGTTTTTTTAATGTTTTATTTAATTTTTTATTGATTTCAGAGAGGTAGGGAGAGAGCCATAGAAATATCAATGATGAGAATCATTGATTGGTTGCCTCCTGTACGCCCCCTACTGGCGACTGATCCTGCAATCTCTGGCATGTGCCCTTGACCATAATCAAACCTGGGACCCTTCAGTCTTCAGGCCAACACTATCCACTGAGCCAAACCAGTAAGGGCAGTAATTTGGTTTTAAATACTCAAGATTGCTTCTTGTTCTAATTGCTTTTTTTTCATAGATGAACCCTTACATTTCTTAGGATACCAATTAGAATTTTCACATTCTTTTCTATTCCTTGAATTATTTGGGGGTTTTTCCCCATTGATTGTCAACCTTCTGTTTGTTCACTTTATTGATTATCTGTACTGCTATTTGTTATTTTTAAAGGATCATTCAAGAGATTCACTTGATAGGTAGTTGGTGTGGATTTTTCCCACATTTGTATAAGCATTCCTTTCTCCAAAAGATGTTTACTTTGAGAAAAGGGGGCTTGTTCACACAGACCTTTGAGAATACACAGATGGGGAGTGAGCAGAAGAGCTAGGCTCTTGTCCCATCCTCACTTCCGTCTCTTTGCCAAAATACAAAGCACTTTATTCTGGGGATGGCGCTCTTCTGCCCTGGGCGGGACTGTCTCCCACTCTCACCAACCACTGGCTTTTGAGGTGGGCAAGGTTAGGACCTGACTTGCAGCTGGAGGCCTCCAGCTTTCTGTCACTTGTTGACCCTGAGCTTAAAGTATCCCTGTAATCTCCTTTCCTTTCTGATTGTTGTCTTGGGCTGGTTTGGGCTAAGGTTTTCTTCTCTTGTTTCTTGTCAGCCTCATCAGCTTTACAGTATCCTGGAACTTCATCAGAATCACATGGAAGGCTTGTTAAAACCCAGATCACAAGCCCTACCCTCTAAGTAGGTTGGGATGTGGCCTGAGAATTTGCATTTCTAACAAGTTATCAGGTGAGGGACCACATTTTGAGAACCACTTTGAGGAACTTAAGAGGAGCCTGTCAAAACCACTGGAATCCTAATATCATCTTTAATCTTCACTATTAAAATTCTTCAGTTCTTTTAAAATATATCATTTCAAGGAATTTGGAGCAAAGGAGAGAGATAATACACTGTTTTGATCTGGACTCATAACAATCTCTCCATTATATTCCTTAATTTTTTAAGTAGGCATCTTTGTTTAAATTTTTTTCTCCTTTTTATGACTTTTTAAAAAATTGTATTTTAGAAAATTTAAAACATAGGCAAAAGTATAGAAAGTAATGTAATAACACTCCCTTCCCAACCATTACACAGCTTCAATACTTGATCCATCCGTGGCCAGTCTTGTTTTCATATATAACTCACCCATTCCTCCTAACCCTACCCCACACACCTGAGATCATTTTGAAGCAAATACCCAGTGTCATTTTATCCCTATATATTTTAGTACAAATCTCTAGAAGATAAAGGACTTTTTAAAATACCACATCTTTAAAAATTAATTCCCTACAGCTTTCAACTATCCAATCAGACAAATTAAGTTTCTGTAATTTCTTAAGATAACATAGTTAACATCATTCTGTATATTCCATTTGTGCCTTGTTTTGTATATCAAAGGTGCCATACTGGAAAACTGTATTTTGGAAATATTTTTTTAAAAAAAGAAAAGAATCCTATATAATAAAAGCCTAATACGCTAAGTGTCCAACTGTTCATTTGTTCAACCACCAGTGCACTGACCACCAGGGGGCAGACACTCCGACCAGTAGGTTAGCTTGCTGCTAGGTTCCGGCTGATTGGGAGTGGGCGGGACGGGCTGGACACACCCTGGAGCCCTCCCGTGGCCCCTCCCCGGTCTTAATCGTGCACCTGTGGGGTCCCTCGGCCTGGCCTGCGACTGACCTCTGACAATCCATGACCCCTCAAAGGATGTTGGAGAGCCGGTTTTGGCCAGATCCCTGCAGGCCAGTCCAAGGGACCCCACTGGTGGCACCAGGCCTCTAATATATATGTATTGATTTCAGAAAGGGAAGGGAGAGGGAGAGAGATATAGAAATATCAATGATGAGAGAATCACTGATCGGCTGCCTCCTGCATGGCCCCTACTGGGGATCGAGCCCATAACCCGGGCATGTGCCTTGACTGGAATCGAACCGGGACCCTTCAGTCCTCAGGCTGACACTCTATCCACTGAACCAAACTAGCTAGGGCTATTTGGGACATATTCAAAAGCTCAACTCATTTATTGTATTTACTATTATTATCATTTTTCCCATTAAAAATAGACATTTAAATTCTGAAATGGAGAATGTATTTTAATTGAAATGTGGAAATGGTGGTGCCAAGTACTGTAGAGCTCCCTGCTGCTGCTAAGCCATCAGAAGGCAGTCAGGGGAGAAGGAAGACAGCCCTGGTGATGGAGCAGGGCCAGGCAGTTTTTCTAGTGATGGTTTTTAACCTCCACAGCCCACATGCTGAATTAGCATTTGAAACTTG